TATCTGATAACGTTCTCAAAACGAGCTTTCCTTGAAGCCACATAGAATCCTGCATTCTGGTGTGGAGTCGCGAATTGTCTGGTACCCTAACCGCGCGTCTTCACCAAGCAGAAACCAAAACAGTTGTGGGTAGATTCTTGATGTTTGATACAGGCCACTTGCTTTACATCACCAGATTACTGGTGATTTCTCCCTACATTCCTTCGTGGATTGAAGTAGCTGGAACTTCTGGTGCCTCTTGCCATAAAAAATTTCTTCCAGAGGTTTTTCTGTTGTTACGGCCTCTGGTCAGTTGGAATAGGTTGGAAACGGGCCGTCAGGTACCACAAGATATTTCGTATTGGTAGACCCAGACGTGATGCAGCGTTTGTTCTGCCCCATAGTCCAAGATTAAGATCATTTGCAAAGACATGTTAGCAGGTCATTTGTACATTAACCAATCGATGTTCTGTGGAATATGAATACTCTAAACCCCGCAATCACTTTCAATCAACATGAATTCTACCGCGATAGGCGGATTGTTGTGTTTGGTGTATTTACTGATAAAGAGCATCCAGCTAAAACTGGAACAGCCTGCATACGGCTGCTGCAATGCACGTAATACCACAGCACTACAGATGCCCCACTGTGTTGATAGCTTTCGACGGCCACTCACCGGAGTACATCCTCTAAGTAAGTGTAGAGACATCTGCATACATTCCAGTCGAAGTGGGCTGTGCGAACCATCACCCCATCTAGTATTCCATCAATTAACTAGGTTTCCTTGATAGCAGATGAGTACAACTGATGATTGAGGTTCTTCGCATTTTATTGACTGTGACTAGTACCAGCTTGTGGGTGACCACTGCTACTGGGCGGTTTAGTAACATTCTAGAAGATCAGTAGCTATCAAAGAAGGGGCGCATCTGAACCATCCGAATTTTCATAACAAGCTAACCTGTTTTTCTATTTTTGTAATATCTGTTAAACTCAGTTACTGCTTTGTGAGGTCAGGGAGCTCGACTGTTAGGTTGGTGTGCACTCGTAGCAAATCAGCTGCCAGTAGCAGTTCAGGTATTCTATAACCGCATTAACAGGAGACGAATGAGCTGTTTTATCATTTTCCTAGTTTTTTTTGGGAAATGTGTCCCAATAGCCGAACGCAACTCAGCATTTATCACCAGATTTGCGAATCGCGTTTTAAGCAAGAGATTTGTTGATCGAATAACTAAGAATTGCTGCAAGTTACGTACGGTTACAACAATAAGAATAAGCCGTTACCCATTTTCTAAGGTGAGCTTGTTTTGTAAGTGCAGGATACGAAAGCATCGTCCACTAACAAGCCAACTTGACCATATAACCTAAGTGTAAAATTCTCATAAAGTGCAACGAGCCTAATTATGGGAGATGATGGAATGCACCAATATGATTTAATTTCGTGTATATTTGCATATCTAAGGAGCACTTGAATTGTTCCATCAGCTATTAGAGTGGTTCAGTTTGGATTCGTTCCGATAAGGTAGGCTGTTTATTTCCTACTCGTTGATGATGAATCAGACTCAGTGACCAATCTGAACGCACACCAAACTTTCAGGTAACCGGACGCACATTGATGTAGGACAGTTCATCTAAGTTCGAAATATTTTCACTTATCAACTCCTTACTTCCGCATAATTTGACCAAGGCGGGTGAGATCTATTCAATGGAGCGGTTCCTGATATGTAATAGTTTCATGCCATTTATTAGTTTGCGCAACCCATATTTTAAGGAAGTAATTTTTATCAATTTAGGAGAGGTGAGGTGCGTCTCAAGTTAAGAAACAGCTCTTTATTGTCATATCACGGTAAAACTATTCTCAATGCGGACTGCTTCCTATGGCAGAAAAACTGCATTTAACAATAATACAACAATTTTTTACTCTGTTAACATATTGGGCTGTACTGAAAAATGCCAGTGCGACTTCCAGTCTTCCCTGTCAAGTTACCTGGATGAAGGCCCGGTATGGAGTCATCTGGCTCTCTAAACCAATAATTGGGAGAATTGTGACAATTCGCTCCTCAAAACTTATGGTAATCTAGTGGCCGTGTGTCTAACGAATCAACTGCGTGGAGTGTTTAAATGCCTTAGTTGCCTTTCTTTCTCCCTAGATTTTGGTGCTTTTGCTACATTCTATCGTACAGCCACCGAATGTACGATCGGCTGCACTTCACGCCACATCAGCCGTTGCAGGGTGACACTAGTAGGGGATTTTTATTCTCTACATATATTTAGGTGGAGAAACAGATGCACGCAATAACCAGCACATTCTATCGTTTTATCCTGTCCCCTCTTAACTTTCCGTCTCGCTTCATAACGGTTCTCATCTAGGTCCTGACTAAAGACAAGACATGTTACTACCTGGATAACTGGCACTGTATATCATCGCACACATGTGACGCTACGCAGCTACTGTTTAAACTCGTTTCTAAGTTTTTACTGCAACTTCTACCATGTAGACCTGGAAGAATGATTAACGACTACTCTGGCAATTTACATACTGATTTCCGACGCAACTTTGAAACTCTACCGCTGCATACGTTTTCAGTTGCAGCATTTATGATAACATCCCGCCGCGAAATTAGGGCGATCCCGATGCTGCCGCACTGGGTTGTGCCTACTCTCAAGTTGCAGCCTCAGGTTTATTCGCTTGACTGGATGTCTGTTAACGGCTTACCCTATGCTGGCCGATTTTCAACCTCCACAGAACTCATCGAATTAAAAACACTGAGCATTGTTTTCTTATGTGCATTTACGCAACAAATAAGCGGACTCAGCAAATAAAAACCCCACGCCAAGAAACAAACAGTGTCTTCAACAAATATTATCAGTTGCACATCAATTTATCTTCTACAGGAGACTTAGCTGAATCTCTCGTTTATGAAATTCTCCAACCCAATGTGCAGCGCAAAGGCCGACCCCTGTTTCAGCTGGTACGATATTCTAGACATTGCAGCATATTTTCACAAAGAAAACTACTGCTAAGGCCGCCCAAGACCGTCTCCGCTGTTCTTGGGTCGCCCACCTGATTTAACTGGACCATAGAATGGATGCAATATGTAACGTTTAGTCATCCAGTTGGTTTGAGTTGTCAAGATCTCCAGCAAAGTGGTCCAATAAAGTACACCACCGGATGAATCAAAATCCTCGTCCAGTTAAACAACCTACTCCATTTGCATTGCAATTGTGATCGGTCTATGCGCAAGTTTGGTGAATGGTTGACGTAAAGCCAGCTTTACGACAGAAAAGTAGAATTATGAGAAAGGAAAATGCTCTTCGAGAAATACGTAAAAAATTGTGTTAGGAATGAAAAGGAATTAGTCCATCCAATATGAATGCAGTCATGTGAGGATCTCGAAAAACTGGTTTAGCATTTGTTCAGACACTGCAATGTTTTATGAAGAAAACCTCATCCAAATACACTGGACGAACTGTTGCACTGTCGACGAACGCCCCTCCAATTGCATTTCGCCAAGCCTTGAAGGTGTTATTGCGTCCACATCTTGACTTGCAGGGACTGATTCCAATCAGCGTGCAAGATGAAGGTTACTTAGTGGGCAAGTTCCGTTTTTGCACTTTACACTTCTACGATCCATGTTCCAAATATCAGTAACGTTTCAATACCGTAGATTTATGGAGAAGTTACTGGCTATCCCATGATCGGTATGTCAGCCTCCGGTACAACAAAGCGTAAGGAAGTTTTTTAGTTCATGTTTTAGACGTTCTACTAGCTTAGATAATATTGAGGATGCTGGTTTTGATTATATCAATCTTCTTGTAAGAGTTGTGAAGGGGTTAGTTTTGGCTAAAGAATGTTGTAAAACTCTGTCGTTATGAAAATCCATAGACAAGATTTCGAAATTCTAGGTTGGGTCTAAGAACTAATTTCAGTGTAACAGGAAATCCGTTCATCAAGAGTCGTTCCCAACCACAGCCTGCTATGTATTATCACTCAACAAAAAAACATCTACACAGATTGCAGACGGGTAGTTGTGTTGAAATACTTAACTACGGAGCCGAATTTAGAACTGCGTCTAATTAATCGTGACAGGTATCTGTAGGCACTTTCTATTCTGTAAATGATGAATACCTAAAAACCGCAGCGTTATGGACCATGGTGACACATTTCACTCGATCTCCGTTACATGGGTGAGCCAAACTCGGCCTGCGCCGAGGATGTTAATTCAGTCAGCTAGTCTGAAATTGATCAAATTTTGTTATTAATTATTTTATCTACCTGAATCACCATCTGCATCTCTATATCCTATCGGTTTTTATTTAATACCACAAAACTAAAGGAAAACTCAACGCTATAAAAGATAGATGTGTATACCAAAGTTCGTGTTCTAACTAGGTGTATGATGAAAAATTTGAAGTTTAAACCAATCCCATTTTCTCCAGTTACAACAGATCTTTCGGCGGCACAACCACCATGCACTTGAAAAGAAGCGGTACATTTGAGCATCCTGCCAAATAGTAATTGAAAAACCTAGGATGGGTCGCATTCGAGAAAACCCCCACTGGGTTGTTGCCCGTTGACCTCTATGAAGTCAGCAACAAATGGAACTCACCCAAACCGTAAAAAATTCATGTAATAGATTCTGGCCTAAAAAATCTACATATGAACTCATTTTGTTTGTGTCTGACCGTTGCTTATTCCACGAAGCCGCTTGTTCCCGCAGTGTTCATTGACATTAGGTTATGTTGACATACAGCGGCAGTATTCAATAAAAATCTCTACACCAAGGTAAGATGGACACATGTGTAAGAAAGTATCTGGATTCATGTGCTCAGAGTGTGCGTAGTCTCCCAGATCACAGTTAGACTAGCATTCCAAAAAGCTGTTACGGTAACTCAGAGTGTACCTAATGGGTAGATGCAATACGCTGATTACACTGATAAACTGATTCTTCAACGACTATCCCGTATGATGGCCACTCTTGTCCGTCCAAGTATATCGCAGCCAATAAAGAATAAGTCCCAAACTTTTTCGCAAAAACAGCCATAACAAGTCTATATCCGGCCAAACTACCCACCTCAGAATTAAAAAAATAAAAAAACGTCTGTAACGTCCGATAATATGACGAAATCAGATCTAACCAGTTCAGCCAGCGAATAAGCAAGTGGAATTTTGTAGCACTTCCACAAATGTAGGAACAAACACCTACGGTCTCTGAAGGTAAAGATCTTAACACATTGGCAGGTAAACGTAGAGGGCGACACGACAGTTGTTGTGGTCCACAGGCATGTCCAGGAGTAAAAATATTTTGATGGGTTAAATCGACAGAAAGGCAATAATAAACGGTAAAGGCTTCTATGTAAAATATGGCATTCATACAGCAATCAAAAATCCATTTTGGTTTGTACGCTTTTTATATGTCAGGATGAATTCTTATATTTGTGTGCTTATTCCAGTGCTCATGCCGTTTCCCCGGTTCAGTTTGTGGTTCACGTTATTCCTGTACTAAATTTAAAGTTTTGTATTTGTAATGTACTCAGCTCATTACTTCTCGAAGTACATGGCAGGGAGTACCACGAAGGGAACACACTCATCGACATCGGATCCTTTCTCTAAGGATTACGGGCGGTGGTCGTTTCAACAGTTGAGGCAGTTTGAGTTGTTTCCGTAGAAGGCTCGGATCTCCAATTCGAGTACTCGCCAGGTTGAGCGGAGAGTTCTTCGTAGGGTTCTGTGTTATTTGGAGATTGCTGAACACAGAGAGATGGACGTTCTTGTAAAGAGCAGTGGGTGGATGAACGTTGCGAGTCTGTGGTGGCTGCGAATCTGATCTTTGTTCCGGTGAAAACCGGTGGCGGCGTATGTTCCCCCAATGGGTCACTCGGGATATTTGGCAATGTGGTACGGATCCCAGAGCCTGAACGTGGTAGTATGATACTGCCAGATAACGTGGAGTTGGTTCTAACACTTTGGTTCGGACTTCCTAATGTGTTTTCATACTTGTGCAATCCAGCAGGATAGTCCAGAGTGAATGGTTTCAAAAGAGATCCTGAGCTGATATCGTAGCTGGTATTTGTCCATATTGAGCTGAAGACAAGAGAGAAATTTTGTCGACAGATCTGAACACGGATTCTATAATGATGTTGAAAAGGCTTTAAAAAGTGCGCCTAAATGAAAACGAAGGTAAACGGGAAAAGACTAAATGTTACTTGATGCTGCCTTGTAAGGGCTAGTTTGATCGAAAACATCACTGAAGATAGTCGACCGGGTTCCTATCATAATTTACAAAAACAGATATGCCTGTTGTTCGTTTGTGTCATGTCTCGCAAGACAAGGTATGATTCTAACAACAAACTGCTAGGTTCTTTGGTTCCACAGAAGCAGCGTCCTTATAGTTCGACGAAATAGTCATCTTAAAGTCAGCGCACATTTCCGTGATGGACTAACGAGAGGCTTGTCATCCTATCCATATTCAGTAATGTATGCATGGTGATGATTTTTCTCCAGTTCATTCTTGCTATCCGTTTTGAAAGATCACAGTGGCGCATTCTAGGATTGCATAGCGATAGATACCAATCAGTTCTCCGTTTTCTGAGACAATAGGATGGAATTCTTGATTTTGTTTCTGGCCGTGAGGTCAAGCAGAAAATTTTCTATCTATGGTGACCGGCCTTGTCACTGCAAGCTACAGATATAACCACCAAATATACGTTGCTAAATTTCGGTTCATCGAAACCATAATTCCGTCATAGAATAGGTGTATCTAGATACCACAACCTGATATTTTTGGCTTTTATGTATTGTTTTAATTCAGCGAATGGTGAAACCAGCGAAACCAGTGAAACTTGAACTAAAAAATATATTTAAATGGGCATCGCCAGGTCAGTGTGACAACAAGTAGGCTGTTCGAAGCAAGGTTGGTCTAACTGCCAGGTATATCTCCTCAGTCTTTATTCGAGGAGTAGCAACAGTAAGATAAGTGAATTTGTTTTGTTTAGTGGATTGATTTTTGGTCAGTTGATTGTCTCAAGCTGAGTCTATTCTTTCACTGCATAAGTTTTGCTAGTGCATGATAGATTATTGAACTCAAAAACGGCCAGAAAACCCTTATTCTAAGCGCTACTGGGCTAAACGTATGTGCCTAATGCGGCAAGAGCCTGTGAAAGTTCATGCACCTTCCGACGTTGTTGAACAAAATGCTGAATGCCACAGCGTGCCACTGAGTTTCTGGGTCGCGCCCATTTCAAGGCAAAAAAAATCGTATGAAACGTTCGCTGCTTAGAGAGGGCCATATTGCTACTTCCAGAATATAGGGATTCTGATCGTTTGATTGCTTTAACGACATCCAAAAAAGAGGAGATAAAATTTCACCTGAAAAACGACTGATTATGCAGCATCGTATGTTGTATGGGCTCGCTACATTCCCCAAATTACTACTTGGTGATCCTCACAAGCCTCTTGAACCGAGCTCTGAGACGTAACCCCCGCTGGACAGTTATCCTATCTAAGACTGATCACTACAATAGAACGTAGGTACATTGGGACATACGCACATTTTAGCTTTTGAGTTTTTCAAATTCGTTAGAGTGGTTCAGACATTGGGCCTTCAGCACATGCTCTTAAAAACTTACACATCAATTTTCCCTACTTGACACGTGCTCAAGTCCTCTACTTTGTTAATACAACAGATTTGTTAAATGCGCACACATTCGGTCGCTTCATTATCGATTGATGCCCTTATCGTCTTTGTGAGTCTTCGGGATAAAAAAGCGTAAAAAGGAGTGACATTTTTGAAACCTAAACACACATGACACAAACACTGTTTTACTGCAGTAACAGATGTTTTCCAGCTGTTTGTGAACAGCAGGGTTTCTCGTCCGATTAATAGGTCACGTGTTTATGGTAGGTAAGGTTGGGGAAGTCCCGAGGAAATCGTTTTATCTAATATCTGAAAAGAGCTAAATATCATGCTGTGTTTCTAAAAATCAGTGCTTTTCACGAAAAAGAACAGTTCACTTCACCAGTCATGTGAGTTAAAAGTCTGATTTGAGAACAAAAATGAGGACCATTCATAAACCCACCTACCCAGAGTGATCAGATCCACGTTTTTGCAACCGTAAGCGGTAGAATAAGATCCCTCCGACAAGAGAAAATGCCAGGCAAACTGCAATAACAACCAATACAACCACCTGTAATAGAAAAAATGGAAAGCTGAAACGGACGTAAACTTACCTAGAAATCTTACGGCAATCAGAACTGCTGCAATCCCAAATGGTGTTTAAATAAAGGAGGGTTTTGCATGTAACAACCTCATTAGAAGTGCATAAAATCCTGGCGAAATAAAGGTGCATTGCTGGTCTAATAAATTGTGCACAGCTTCGGCAAAACGTTATTCGTCTCTTCAAGAAAGGCGAGGATTGACGGTGCACTCAGCATGTGGCACTCAGATACTGCGCTTTAACCCTGCGGTTCAGATCAACTATCGCGATGCATCTATCGACAAGCACAAAGTTGATTAGCACCAGAAGGACCACAGTAGTGATTTAGTTAGGTGCTGCACCGTTTGCAAACACCAAGTTACAGTTAGATTGTAGCCAGGCAAATCTGCAGAAATACGTGTATTTAGTCAGAAGCAAAGTATTATGGACAGCGTTCAACCTAGACAGCCGAACCTTCAAAAAAAGTGGTCTGGAACCTCCAGTTGCAAGAAATTCACTTAAAGCTACTTTTAAAAGTCGTGCCAACTCAGGAAAACCTTATGGAAAATGTTTATGACCTTAAGGGATCAGAGGAGAAATATCAATAGCCCGTTGTGTTTATACGATGCAAGTCGCGTTGTTTATTTTTATTGAAGGGGGTTTGGCTGCTTTCACATGGCAAGCGTATGATTCAAAAGTATTTCAAAATACTTCCGTTGCCTATTGTATTAGCCATAGGTTGAACCGAGGCAATGCCGCTGTAGGCTTCTTGATCCACAAACGGAGGCATGTTTTCGACCTGTTTTTGGCTATACGATAACTGCCCTGAATCTAGTTCTGAAGGGTACCATAATTTGAGACTGTAAAATGGTGTAGCTGGTAAGGAGTTGTACATTTTCATTTTTGGATTCGTGTTCATCATTTCTTGAATATTCCCAAGCAACTGAGCTGGAAGAGAAAACCTGCACTCAGGAGGCATAAATGATACTTTTATCCTATTCCGAAAAAACATCTGAAGAGACCTACAAAGAGGAGGTAGTCAATTAAATGAAAGGTAACTGTTCTTTCGATTTCCACCCTAGTAAGTAACATATGTGCTCATGTGACCACTATAGCGCAATGGGACATGTGAACAATAAGTAATGCGATTGGCGAATCAAAACCTACGACTGGCCTAGGTGATTTGTGCTTATTGAAATTCACCAGGATTTCTGATGCCATAAACTAAGTGTGCACACTACAAATAAGCTGTACGGGACAGTTGCCGGAGCGGAAAATCCCATTCAGGCTTAGCTGGCTCTCCGAGGCACATGAATGTAGCATACCAGGCCAGCCGTAAATGCTTTTCGCTGAAGCAGATAGTTCGCTGATGTCGGGCAGGCTACAACTGCCTGATGAAATGTTGGGTAGTTTTGAAAATGTTTTGTTGGCATTATCCATCAACACGGGTTATCCTATCGCTCGTTTTGACCAAACGAATCCCCTCAAATACTATCAAGGTACCTGTTTTTTGGTAACAAGAACATTTTGTGGATAAAGAGGTCAAACAAAAATTCGTGCATCAAGTACTGAAATCTACCGAATTTGTACTTGACTTCTATCCTCCGGTGCATTCTATGCACGAACTTGACAGAATTCAAGTATTTGAATCAAACAGCATTTTTCTTTCCCATTACACAGCTTGTTCTCAATAGTTCGCCTCAATAAAAACCAGGGGAGGATCGCTTCGTTTAGAGAAGCGAATAAACTATGACGAAGGTATGGTTAAGTGCCAAGAAGCGTAGTCATTAGTCCTAAAGGGGGGCGTTTTACGTAGCGGATTCAGGCTGTGTTTAATACGATGCCGCACGCTTGTCTACCACTTTCTACTGACGAATGGATGTGCAGTGTTTTGAGGTTGATCACTTGGTGACTCATACATGCAGTCATGTGACTGTTAATGAATATTTTAACTATTCAGCCGTACTGGCCCTCGGTTCTTTACAGGTGTGGTTGGCTATGAAAATGCCAGAAATTATTAGATATTTAATTACCGAATTATCACTAATTTATACCCGGGCTGTCGTAGTAATCACGATACATGGAAGTAGAAAGTTATTGATTGACCATCTTTGTAGCAAAACCACACTGACGCATGAACTTACCGCTACAATGTACACCTTGTGTTTGTAACTGATGTGTCCAGCTAAAAGGTGAGAAATGGTTTTTGTTTATTCATCTGACAAAATTGCAATGGACAAGAGCGTCGGCACATCGGAATAAGAGCTAGCAAACTAAAAGAAACTGTGTCACATTTATGACTCATCGTTTGAACATTCCATTTTTGGCAACTTTGCTGCCCCGGAGACAAACTTTTAGAAGGGACGATCAGTTGGAACAGTAGGAATACTTAATTAAGTTGAGAAAACTCATCACAGATATTCATGTAGCGTATGGCATGAAGCTTTCCAACGCGCTTTGAGACCTTTAATCTTGCAGTGTGAAGTGTAATTCCTGAATCCATATGAACCACGTTTTGTCAAACTGAGGAAATACATGCAAGCTTTGTACGCCTGATTTAATGCTTACTGGAAACCATTAAAAAGCAAAAATTGCCCAGTAGTTTCCAAGATGAAGATGACCATACTGTGATTAGACACCGGATGGTTGGTCAGTGGCCACACACGAATTAGTAATACTTATGCTCAAACTTCAGGGGCACATCATATGCATGCATTCCTAACTTATTGGGTGTAGACTACCCAAAAAAAACAGAGCCTTTCTCTGATAAATCATTTTGTTCGAACTGAACTGAATAAGATGTTTATTTATTGGAAAACCTTAGAAGTCGTTGCCAAATGAACTCAAGACATCCTTTTTCAACCAACTTTCTATTACTTTCTCCGTCGTTAGGTTACAGTAGTGAGCGCTGCCATAATGGATGAGCGTATCTTATAACTCCTGTTATTTAGCACCAAAAACAGTTATACGAATGGCTAATCGATCAAAATGAATCCCGTTGCATCAAAACTATCGACATTTTTAGAATGTGTCATTCAAATGAGTGCACACTGCCCACTTCACACACTGCCCAGATGCTGGTCAATATTCAGAGGCATGGTCGTCCGCCCAGATGCTGGTCAATATTCAGAGGCATCGTCGTCATCAAAGTCACATATTATTGAATGGAGGGTGAGGTTTCAATAGCTATCAAAATCCAGCAGAGACGGACAATCGTAAAGTTTCCGCTTCGGCCTTATTTGATAAAATCCTATAAAAAGTCATCGAACACATTTCCAGCCGGCGCACAGTGTAATTTTGAAGTAAACTGTTGCTTTAAACTTCTCAGCGCTTCTGTTGATCCGTTTGAAGGAAAAAATTGTCACTAAACAGCCACAACGGCCACTGTTTGCTGATTGTTTCTAACACAATTACTTAGGGAAGCTTGCTTGAGGTACTTACATGTTGCCTTTGTTATATTTGCCAGTAAGTAATCAAATTCATGCTGCTCATAAGCGTCAGGCTCCCACACACTCTCTGTCTTATTTGGAGGGAGAAGGCGTTCCATCATTGGTTCCCGTGTTTTCAAGTTTTCTTCCAAGGAAGGGAGCTCCTCACGCTTTGTTTCTGCTTCAAAAGCTGTCGAGGGAAGAATCATAACCGCCGTAGTTTGAGTTGTCATTGAAGGTGCTGAATTGGAATCGTCAGCTGATGACGAAATACTGGTTTCGACGTCGCCAGAATCTTCCACACCTTCCTCATTTCCATATTCAGTGGGTGGATCAATAGGTATTTCAGGTAAAATCATGCTTGTAATGAGTGTGCTGTCGGACGGCATTCTGCAAAATTCACCAGACCAACCTGGGGCGCAAACACAAACAGCACTGGTGCTGGAATTTGACAGAGAAAAAAATTATTTCAGGTCGTTTTGAAACTCAATGTTCCTAAGGCATACAATAAAACATCCTGCTTCAACAAAGCCACCACTTTTGTAAGAATCGGCTTTGGGGGACAAGGGAAAATCCGGTGAAACTTTCTGGTTTGTTTAAACCTGGCGCAACACTAAACATTTTAAATTAAGGACAAAACTCCCGCACAAGATCATGAATTTGTAGCAACGTAATAAGATAATACGTACTGACTATATTCAGCTGTAGCCGAAGTGATTGCATCGTGAGAAGCAGTTAAAGTAAATCTTAGGAGGTTGTTCCACTCTACCGTTGGTATTGTGCACAAGTTTTTCTGTAGCACAGTAGTAAAGACAATACGGTACCTCCATATGCTGGGACCTGAGCGCCCAAAAGCAGGATATGATAGCTTCCAACATGTTTATATAATTAAACAAAATCAGCACTTGCCTTGCCTGAGCATTATTTCACCATCGACTGTCAAGACTGCGAACATGGTGTCGCTAAAATATCGGAAGTCTCACAATACACCTAGTGCCCCAGCTGTTAATCTGAACATATGGCTCCTGTTTTTGTAAGAAACATCTATGCTTAGGCCAAAGCGAGCTTTTGCCCAGACAAATTACAGCGAATCTCTCACCGAATTTGCAAAGAAAGCCGTCATCTTTGAAAAAATATCGTACAAATCTTCAATTCACGCAAATTTGTCTTGGTCGTAAATAGTTGTGAGTTGAAGAGAACACAGTTTAGAGGAAAGTGGATCAACTTCACGTCACCTTGTGAGTCAGAAATTACATCTGCTTAACTCGTAGCCAGATATGCATCACGCATATTTGTAACCGTAACACAGCCCTGCGTCACATCTGTGCAAATTCCAAATTTCGCGTAGGTGATTTCAGAAGTATGCTCTTGGCCTCTTATGCAGTGGTGAAGTGTTTTTTCTAGATTTTCAAGTTTTCTGGGACAGCCAATTTCTTTCCAGATGATTCACGGGGCCTCCTTGCTTACGAAGAAAAAGGCGTTAGTAAAGTATACCGACAGAGCCTATAACGGTCAGTTTCTTCAAACAATACGCCGTTCTTGAAGGATACATTCTTATAGAATATCAAGAATGAGACAGTTGAGTAAGATGGGTGACAGAATTGGGCTTGCATTTGCGCATGAATAGTGGTAATATGGTGATACCATTTGAATCTTGTAAAACATTTGTTTCTCAAACTGTGAAGATCCGGTGTTACAATCGTCTTCCGATGTTCGTCCACCCAATACGAACATTTCGGCAGGTAGTCCCTCCATTCTGGTGGCCTGGTCAACTGTTATCTCAATCTCTTTGTTAGATTTGAATTAAGCATAATTTTAGAGACAATCTGTCGAAACTTTCGTAATGCTGACTGGCCTATCTTGATCTTACTTCATAGACTATTCGTTCAACGATGAATGGTTTTCCCAATACCACTTGAACACGGAATAGCAGCCATGGATGACTCGTACTGCAATCAGCACAGCGTACCGCGTTTGGTACATGAAGTCCTTGAGATCCCTTGTCGTAAAATGGTATAATCCAGAAGATAAGCATTTTCACTTCCTGGAAGTACTCAAGCCATTACAGTCACTATGCTAGCTCGGAATTTTGTATCAGCAACCGTGGCTTCTATACTATCACATATCCTTGGCAGACACAAGCCGTTTACCCTCATGGCTCCAAGTATCCAGATTATTATCCCTTTTAGTAGTCATTTGTCGGGGTCGATTTCGGCATTGAGTTAACCCACGAAAACATTCCGCTCGCCACTGCCTGGTGCGCAGACCTTGACCGTGCACTGTATCGGTCAGTCACAGACTCGCACACTTGTTGACGCTAAGAACGTTGACAGTTGAGGTTTATTGTATAATTCTGTTCACCTTTGCATAAATAGTGCCGTACGCTTCCGAACCAAATCCCTTTTGATATCCGGGATCATCAAACCTACCTGTGACTCAATTCCATACGTTGATAGAGCTGGATAGTTAGTATTCTCTCACTGACAGGGTTTGGCTCATCCACTAAACTGCGATTTACACAAATGGTAACATCCAACTCAAGTCCACGTTTCCAACGTCTGCCATGTGGAGTTTCAGATCAGGACTTTATAATACTCCTCCTGTATTCGGCCATTTGGGTTTCTCTGATGGCGGCTAGGTCAGTATTATAATGTTTAAGCTCCAATTACCAGAAGTAAACTATTTTCAGTAATGTCTCTTCGACTGCTACTGGGAAGTCACATGTTCAAGTTCTAAATCGAATTGGGAGTACTTCTACCCCTCTCTGTTCTTGGATGCTAAATGCTCAAATTTTCTCTTCTCTTAGGTTCCATTAGGCCCACTGGATTTTTTCATTATTAGTGCTGGGTAGTTGGATGGCTATATAAAATAAACAATCTATTCACTGTTTCCTTTTTCGCCCTTCCGCAAATCGAATTCCACTAGCAATTAAGGGGTAGATAGGTGCGCACCTAGAGCAAAAAACACCAGAATGCACATGCAATGGAGAGGACCGACCAGCATAAAAATGAATGCACGTTAGTTTTCAGCTAGGCTAAATTTTGGCGGACAAAATCTATCAAACTTAGTACAATCAGAACAACTGGCAGACACCAAGATGGCATAGATGATAGGTTTAGCATTTTCCTCGAACACAGACAAGCACCGGCCTTTCATTGGCGCTGTTTCCACCACAAACAAAACTAACTACAAGGCACCACTTTGTTTAGACACCAAGTCAATTAAGCAATTTGGTGGATCGGTCTGAAGGTCCGTGCATTTTGAAGGTTTTTTGGGGTACTGTTTGTATCTTTCATGGCGATGAAACAAAAGAAATCGAATGGTTCGTCTGATGAACAGGGTGAAAACCATTTGTTTGCTAGATACCATAGACCAAGACCCCAGTATCTAGACGGCTATGCACAGCGCTTTGCAAGGGGAAACACGTCGCGGTAAGTACCAAGAGCTGAAACAGCAACAGATGACAGGAAAACTAATGTTCCCTTATCTTGCCGTTCAAAATGATACTGCAAGTGACCGGTGGTAAATTGTCCAGTGTCATGGGCGTAAAGCATAACGATGCTTGACTTTGAAGAGCCATAAACACTAACTCTCAAGGAGATCGTTTTCCCAACTTCCCTTCTGCACTATATTTATTCATCCACGTGTAATCCGGTTAGGCTATGGAAGACTTGTGATGGAATTCTGATCAAATGCATATACAACCTCCGATGCTACTTTCCAGATCAATGAAGAAACTTATTTGAGACACCATTAGGCCAAAGCCAGTCCATTCTAGTTATTCTGTTACAAGTGCTCCAAAATCCTATAGCGTGAAGTAATCAGTGAGAAGAAGCACAAACATTTTTAACTTGTCAAGATGATTCTGAAAGAGTGATCGTATAAACAGTAAAACTCTAATTCAGAAAGTGCAATACACGCTCAGACAAAAGAACGGCCAGGAGGACTACTTTGCATTAACCTGATCTGTAACTTATACTTGGGTTTCATTGAGTACAACCTAACAAACTCTGCCGCTTCAGATGATTTGAAAAAAATGCAGCAGTCTCGCTCCAAGCTTAATTATGTTACCTGGTATCAGATCAAGGGCTTATAGAAGTTATTTTCGAAGCCACATATTGGCTAGTCTCCATTCACGCATGTTCCCTGGAATAAATATGGCGCATCTCATACCACCTCTGGTCAACAACAAGAAGCTTTGGTTATTACTTCGAAGCAGGTTGCTTCATTTATTCGATGATGTCAGTTGTGTGTTTTAAGGCTGTTTAGAGTTTTCGCTCTCTGGCCTTGCTTGTTAGGGCAGCGTTCCTAGAACATATCCACGAATGGTTAGACATCGTCTTTGTAAGTAAGCCTCGTTCTTCACTGGCAGAAATTTCTCGAGTATCAGACTATAAACAGGTAACTTAAAATGGATATGGCCACGGTCAAACGGTGTTTAACAGGAACTTCGCGGCTCCCTGGCCGGCGCCTTTACGGTTTTTGGAATCAACAAGAGACATGACGAGCAGCGAACAACCAGTCGCTATCTGACTACATTTGGGCCACATTTAGTTTGTCGTTATGTAATGAACATGTTAGGGCAAATTAAGCAAACAATGCTGTATAATCGTTGCATGTATTTCCACACTGCTGAAAAAAGTTGGTGTCTTAGTATGGATGTTTGAAGGATTGTCAACGGACTAGGCATTTTGACCTCTATCCTCAGTACTTTCCATTTTTAGAGCAACGTTTTTTCATCATTATTCTGTGATATTTAAGCAGCAGCTTTTCGTACCAATATCTCGCTCTCTGGATTGAGGATTATAGATCATCTATGGAAAAGGTAAGCTGTGCATAAATATTCCACGAAAACCAACTGCAGCATAACTGTTGTTTCCCGAGTCAAGCAGACAATGAATAGCATTGGGAAGGATCGAATCACACTTGACGTTTTCCGTGAAGGGTCATGGTAAACGCAGTACTTTTCAGGTAGTAAGATTAGGTTTCTAGGTTGGACTGCAAAATGAGTTAAGTGGCCTAACTAACTTTGAACAGTTTGAAAGGCACAAATGCAGTGCTCAGGGCCCAAACTTACGTTGTTCGCAATCGTCACCAATGTTGTTTTGCTATGTATTATTTGATTCGATGTTATCTTGAGATAAACTTGCTCCTTGGGGAGCAAGACCTTTGACTCTGTATAGAGGGACTGGAATTTCACTAAAAATTTTATGGAAACTTTTTTTCGCACCTTTTTGCGAGTTGGTGCCACTTTGAGGATTGTTTGATGCATCAGTGAAGTTCATTAAAGGGACTCAGAATAAATTAAAGAATGAACCATGCACCGACCGAAATGCATATGGTTTAAAACCATCCTTATATTTTCAGTCATCTCCATCCAGACGTAATCAAATTTTCCTGGCTGTAAAACTTTTGTTTGCATCAGGCGCGAATGCACGAATACCGCACTACAAATGCGTTTCAGAATGGATGTTAAATGGCTAGAAAAACAGGTAAAATGACAGCGTTACAAACCACCAATTGAGTCCTTGAGTTCCCTTAATTCGCTTCCTAACACTAACCTATCACTCAGGTAAGAATGATGCCAATAAGAAATAATCTTCTTAAGCAACACTTGTGGTTGTTGTATTCCGCAGACCGTTTCAAAACTCTGCCTAGCTGACTCCGTCCGTCGTTTCTTAGTGTATTTCCTACATTCCACCCCATTTCGCCCATTGTGCACTCTTCTGCAAAACACCCGAGAATCGGTAACTCCATCCGGCTGAGAATGCAAACGATGCACCGAGCTCCTCTATGGTGTTGTAATATTTCGAATATACCAACAACAGATTCCAACAGATTCCCTAAGTGAATTTCATGTTTCCACATTCCAGCTATTCGTTTCATCCTCCTCTTGGAAACTTCTGAACTGTTTCAGATAAATTCTACCGCTTAGTAATGAATTACAAAATGCCTACTTTAGAACTGCCTATCGAATGTCTCTTTTCCATTCACATCAAGTCATAAACGTAGTAAGCATTCCCACTGATATCAGAACGTACAAAAGCGCAAAACTGTATTCCACTGAATGTGTCCGATTGTTTTCCGTAATTAGAGAGCGAAAAGAACATTATATTAAAATGTTTGGGTACTGACGTGCTCATAACTACTTCGTGTCAAATTTTCGTTTGATTCACATGAGCTTAATAATTGATCCCCACTTTGGTTATGTTTGAATTGCTTGATGCGGAGACACGGATGATCCAGGCTTACTAGAACCGATTCAGCTCCAGTTAAGACTAGCTTAGATCAGTTAGTTCGGAGTATTCTGAATAAGGAAGTAGTTAGGATGGTTTTTGAATAAAGTCTCTCATGTTTGTGAGACGATGCTGAAAATTTCAGAACGTGTAAATCTGATTTAATGGGCAACCTCTTTCTTCGAAATTTAATTTTACAGTATGTTGAGAGTGCACGTTTCTGATATACAAACAAGCAAATTCAAATTGATGTTGCTCATAAAATCTATCCACGTCATTTGCTAGAGACACAACCCAGTCACACACACAAAACAGGTTATCAATATTGACTGTCTTTTATTATTTTCAGAGGAGGAGCAAGTGGTTCACACAGATGAGTCAGGAATTCTTATGGATAAAAGCGCGAGAAAGTCTCCGATTAGAAAAGCAGGTCATTGAAGTTTGTTTCCAATGAAATATCAGTGTTTTGATGCAATTTTGGGCACTTTTTAGTGGAATTGATCTCAATCTAAATGGATCTCAAGAAAATGCTTTGCGATCAGCCGTCCTCACCGTTTTTCAGTTACTCTTGGTCTTGCAGGGTGACCCCTGAGTTTCATTTTTGTTGAAGCTTCAAGTAAGCAACGCTCGCATTTTGAATGATTGCACTGATTTACTGCGGTTATGCTAAAAATCAGTGCTTTTCTGTGTCTATCTGGGCATAGTAATCTCAACCAAAATCTTTCTTTGGTCTCTGAGGCAGGACGGTGATAACGAAAGATTCCTTGACAGTCATATGGTGTATTTTTTATCTTTCACTTATAGCATCCTCAAAAAATGAGTAGAATTTGGTAAGGTTAGCGGAGTATTTAGGGCAATAAATAGTTGATATTTTGGTGCCTCAGGAACCATGTGTTACTTCAGTCGGAGTCAAAAACTGACAAACTCTCCAGAAAACCAAGTCTTAGGGTAAAATAATTTTTGTGCCTTGAAATACCCCCTCACTCTGTTATTTGCGCATACTGGTCACATGGTACGAAACGAGGTGCTGCCACACGTGTCATTCTGGAAATCAAATCGATTTACACCAAACAAGTTTATAAATAAATAGATAGATAGATAGATAGATAGATAGATAGATAGATAGATAGATAGATAGATAGATAGATAGATAGATAGATAGATAGATAGATAGATAGATAGATAGATAGATAGATAGATAGATAGATAGATAGATAGATAGATAGATAGATAGATAGATAGATAGATAGATAGATAGATAGATAGATAGATAGATAGATAGATAGAAGATAAGATAGATAGATAGATAGATAGATAGATAGATAGATAGATAGATAGATAGATAGATAGATAGATAGATAGATAGATAGATAATAGATAGATAGATAGAGTGCAAGTTTACAGATGCGCTGTTCGTCTTACATGTAGGGCTGATCTTTCAACTTACTTGGTCAGAACACAACTTCCTTGGATACAAGGCTTATTGCACATTCGCGCTCCTGTCAAGCTGTTGCAGGTCCACAGTTGCGGACTCGGTTGACAATAAATTTCACAACGTTCTCCGTAATAATTTGTGGCACATTCCACTTTCAGAAGCACCTTCACTCTGTCAAGAACCGAAAGATGCAAATGTTGGTATATAATTCTGTCATAGATTTTCTATCACAGTCTCCAGACAAATGAAAAACAGATTTGGCTTGCCGTCTAATTTGAGAGCATACTGTGGGAAATTAGAAGACTGAAACAAAAGTGGTGGGCAGTAAATTTAAAGAGGGGTTTAAAGTTCAAAGAAACTATTTTAATTATGATAAAGCTAGGCTAATATGGTGGTTTTTCCCTAAGGATACGAAGTTGAGGCCAAGTGAGCACAGTCGTATGTCTTCTGCAAGACCTACATAGATTTTCTCAGACCTCAAGTGACTTTTGCACTTTCCTAGAGGATTCACGATTTCATACCTCCTCAGAAAGTTCATGAACTTGGCCACTGATACAGAGGTATTTATTCAAGACCGTTTAAAATTTTGAGTAATGCTACTCGGGCCAAAGTATGAAAGTTTTGTAACATGACTCCAAACTGGTTAACCTGCCTAAGCAGCAGTCCTTATGTTGAACTGCCGAACACACTGAAAAGCATAACAAGGCATGAATATGTGTTCCACATAGTCCCAATTCTTTGTCTCCTCAGTACGGAACTGAGTAGGTTCCAGAACTTAAGCACTTCTTTGTGTTGCCTACAAACCATAAGGGCTGAACTCAGAATAACACCTTACTGTTGCTCCGAGGGCCGATTAACCGCAGCTGATGAAACTCTGTGTTTGAAGGACACCGTCGCCATGTCTCACTAAAATGTAGTTCAACCACACTCGTGGCCCGATTTCATAAGCTTGTTGCACTGACGGAACGGTTCGTACATTACCAAAGATCCGAGAGTTGGGCGTTTCTGATGATTTACAAAAAGCATAAATGATTTTAAGTGTTTACAGATGAGTCGATTTCAGCTTCAGAATAAAATCTGAATAGTACGTTCCTTGCCGTAGAATATTCCGGTATTGTTTACGGATTTCGGATATGCCACTGGATGCCATCGGATGCCATTGGAGACGGTGCAAGTAAACGGTTTATCGAACAAAGGTTGATTTCGTATGATGATTTTCGTATGGTGAAACTTGACTTAAGGTGCCATTCATAGATAGATGAGTAAAACGCAACAGAACTCTGGTCTTGGATAGATCAAAAGTTCGATCGAGCTTATCCTCAAACAGCAATTACTTCCGGATGTATTTAATCATCGGTTGGTTGTTTGGTTGATTCATAAGTTAGTTGTTGACAAAGATTATGACTCCAATCTCACTGAGCTGAATTTGTATCCGGTAAGAAATCACAGTGCAGTATTTATGGAATTAATGCAAGGAATAAAAAATGAGGAAATCTTTGGGATGCACTTTTCCGTTCGCCATTTCGTTTGGCTTCAGAGAGCAAATATATACTTATCAGCATAATCGATCAAATGAAGGAAAATTTAGCATAAAGTGTTTTCCAACGCAGTTATTCCAAGAACTCTATTTCTTGCACATAATCATTTGAGTAGGTTTCAACCATTTTTAAAAATACATTTTTACTCTAAAACTGATGCATTTACGTTGCCATCACTCCGCTTTGCCCAGAGAATGACAAACGTTCCGGCCACACTACAAGCTTCATTTTCAGAAGTGCTTTTTACTCGGAACCATCTGGCTTTCAGAATGCGATATCTCCTAACTAAACGGTCTCTGATAAACTTCACTTTCGAATCAACTATTCTTTTGCGTGCCAAAGTCAGATCGAAATTTTTTACAAATAGAGTCGGTTTATTCGAATAATGCAGGTGGTTGCATCCAGACAACTATAATTATCGGGGTGGCTGTAATTTAGTTTGCCCAAACAGATGAATCCGCTATAAAACCACCCGAAAGTAGCTCTTTGACAGGCGAAGGTCAGAACGCTGTTAACACATCTACACCGTTTGTGCCGATTGTACTGCTAGAAATACGAAGGTGCTTCAATCACCGCTGGCAACTCGGTGAAAGACTGCTGTTCAGCCTCTCGCCCAGTAATTCTGCTGTGATGATATGACGTGAACATTATGTGGAAATTAGCAAACTTTCTTACAAAAAACAGGTCTTCGTTTGATATTTCTTCAGAGGAAAGTGTGCATTGTGCACTTTATCATAGGTAACAAAATGTGTAGGTGTTTACGCACAGATTATGGGTACGAGAAAAATGTGCCCGGTACATCTGGCAGTTTAAAAACGTGTTCACAGGCTGCAGTTTATTTGCCTGAACTGACTACAGATTGAAAGAAGTCGTTTGCTGCGGGAAAGGATCCGGGAAAGTTACCCAAGTTACCTTTTTAATGGGTGTGGATTATTGTTAAGATTGTCGGACACTGTAACGCTGAACCGTATTGCACAAACGAGACGGTTCGTATAATGCCTTTCGGACAACTAAACGAACAAAAGCTATTTGGTCTGCCCCATAAATGCTGGAACTGTTTCATATAGTACTACCTAGGAAAGATAACCTTGTTTTTTATTGATGTTATCTTCGATCAGACCTGATGAACATGAATGGGCCTGGCATTTAAAATACTCAGTCTGAATGCTTGTGGCAGCAAATGCGTTTGACAGGCAGCATTTGGTATTTTGCCACAGGGTGACTGCAGCCTTTACCGGATGTGGAACTGCAAGGTGCGTCATGCGGTCATGCCAGATTACACCTAAAAAGTGAGGTACTAAACCCTAACATCAAACGCAAGTCACCGGCATACGGTTGAAAAAGGTTTAAAAGGTACGTATTTGAAATTTCAGCCCATACAATTCGAAATGAATGAATGCTAAGTCATCTACTTTTAGCGCAATTTAACCCAAATGGGCAAAATCTGATTGTACTAGGTACGACGTATCAAGAAGATGCAGAAGTTGCCGGCCGTTCCCAAGCTCGAGGTCGTGTAATCTAGTGGCATCAACAGTAATTAACTAACAGTGGCACACTGGTTTCTAAAACGCAGCATCATATTGGCTAGTAGTACTGATCACTCTCGAGTCAATGGACATTGGCTCAGTTGTATGTGCTGGTAAATGTAAGTTACGGATGAGATTAAAGAAAACAGAACAGAATCATTGTCTGGGGTTGAGAATGCCTAATAGGCACTGAAGAAACAAGAAATAAGTTTCGTTTGGAAAGCTCGGAGTGGCAACCAGAATTACTTTGTAATCTTTTTAAGAAAGAAAGTTTTTTAGTTAACCACAAGAAAGCTAAAATGTCACTGAATAGAGTGGAGAGAAATTCACTGACAAATGTACTGCCTACCGAAAGAAATTATCAGATCACTTGTGAATAAGTAGTTCAACAGAAATCACCGACGGAACTCGCGCAGCTTTAAAAGTTGACCTGCACCCTCACGGAGAGCAGGTGATAAGGTACCCATTTTACATCTTCCGACGTCTTGCTTCTATCAAAGCTTACTCCCACTGTGTCCAATGCTTACTTTTGATGATTAGCGGCAAATCCTGAGCCACAAGTGCAGGTAAGATAATACTGATTAGTTATTCGTATCTGTAGTGTCCACTTCTACACCGTGGTGTATGGTCTTCGAGATTGGATAACAGATCGGCAACTAGTTCATTGGTTTTCGCAATAAACGGGTTCAGCCCTACGACTTGGAATCCAAAAGCACTGCGCACACCGTCAGCTCGCTAAGCGTATTCCTCGAGTTTTTTCATAAAAGCTGTGGCAGTAGATTCCACTAATACAGCAGTGCAACCTTTATTGTCAAGGATATGTGCAGTAGCCTTAGAGGGCATCCTTTAACAAAGGCGTGAATGTATTCAGAAAATCTCAGTTTATTGACCTCCCTTGTCCCGCTTGGACCTCATCAGTTATTGGAAGAATGTTACTTTGGTTAAGCGTTTCAAGCTCGTAATCTCCAGATGCTCACACCAAGTTTAATATAAGCTAGCCATTAGTCTGGACGTACTTATTACGAACATTAATAGGGGTTCATTTCGCCTCCGAAAACGAATAGCTTAGTTTGAGAGTAAATAAGTCTCCAAAATATGGCGTTTGCCTTTCAAATAAGCCTGTTTCATCTGAGATGTAAGCAAAAATTTGACCTCAGTGCTGTCTAAAGTGAAAGCAGTCACCTACAGCGCAAAGTATAGTAAGCAGAATACAAAAATGTATGTTTTACTGGCAACTAATCTTGAGGTAGTGCTAGTCGTATAAACCTAATAAACAAGTCTTCAGGTATGAAATTTCCTAAGGTGACTCACGGACACAACAGCATAACAGCACATGCCGTAAAGACTTACTTTACGTCCGATCCCATTTGCAAGTCTAACTGGCCGGTTCTGAGTAGAGGAATTATTCGACGGAAACGGGCAATAAGTTGATCTTCATCCGCATCATTGTCATGGATATCCAGAGCAATTTCTATTACACTCTGAAAAAGTTGCCAGAAGATAACACAGAATTAAAGATTATTAGTTGCCAAATTCCAACACGTGCTTCACTATCACGCTTTTTCTCCTCTGCAGAGTTATTTTTTACCGTGAGAATAATGCCATATTGACATGACATTATTGACAAATCAGTGACGCAACCTTTGGCAAAGGTAGTTCAACAACGCTACCTGTTTTAGATTTGCCCATGCCAAACAGAAGAAATGGGCACTGCGCCGATTGGATGCTGTAATAAACAAGCTGTCACTGAGGTATTTTCAAACCAAATTTCGCTGTATACTTCACACTGATTAAACATTTGTGAATGTGGATATTGAGCCCATAGGCTATTTCTAGTTTGAGCTAGACGTGCATATAAGATAGACACGCATTCCATTTTCTACCTTTTTGTACTAACTAGATGTGTTTGTTTTTGCCATATAAGGATTAACAATATCTCTTTACCACTTCCACCAATCTTGCGAGCTATGCGTTTTAACACATCGGCTTCATCGGGTTGCGTTATCTGATTGGGAGGAAAGACTTTGAGTCAGTCATCGAACCACGGATAACTGGCCGTCAGTGATCTGAATACTGAGAAATAATGCATTACTTATACTACTTCCTTAAAACCAAACTTCGGCTTCCAATTCCTAATGAACTACCGTCCCGAATGGCCAGCGACGGTGCGCCCATTAACAATGGCAAATACCGGGAAACAGCTCTGAAGAAATGCCAGAAATTGTGCATGGGCGACATGTAAAACTCCAAGTTCGTAAAATGCTGTACTCTAAGTGTAAAGCATAAACACAAATCGCATGGCTTTTGGGTAAAATCTGAATTAGGTCCTCAACTCACAGGGAATTCTCGTTGCGTTGAAGATGTCTGTAGGACTTCCTTCAAAATCTTTTTGTTTGTAAATGGCCCGGCTTCTCTCCGTAGCAACAAATGACGTTCATTACTGCAATAAATCAACAGTCAGTTAGAAAATGAATTATGGTGAACATAAAGAACTGGTAGAGCTTTGAGACCAGCGGGGCTACAGAAACATCTCATCAGTTAGATGAACGTTCTCCCTGAGGCGTCAACACCTGATGAGTTGGATAACACCAAATCGCCTGACGTGTAACATAACTGAAAGACGGTTTGCACCGCATCGACTACAACCTAATTTCAATGGTGATCAGTCACCGTAGGTGGATGCTGAGATTACAAATGAATGAATGAAGGGTAAAATTTAAGCCATCAGTTTCTGAATGCTACAGAGCTCAATTACTGGTTAAATTGATGCGGCTCAAAGCTCTTCAGACTTTCGTGAAATAGAACATTTGTACAGCCCTTCCTGCCTTTGCAGCGGAAGCACACTTTATTCATAGAATGAGATCAAGATTCCGTATTACGAGTTACCTGACTAGCCTCAGACAAAATCCATTGAATTTGATGAAGATGTGTCTCAGTCACTATTCAGATTACGACCGTTGTAATGTGAAAGTTTTATTGGTGTAGTAACGTGTGCTTTTAGTGCATGTTTTGTTCAGAATCAACCGGTTAAGGAGATATATTACTGATGGGCATGCACTGTCTTTTGAACTTTTTAATCACCAGCCTTGTGGGAATGAATGAGCATGGGCGAGCTGGGGACACGAATCAGCATGACTCACCGACTGTTTGTCACGTGCACAGTCAGTTGGAAAACTGGATCACAGTTATCGCCAAAAAAGCTCAATGCCTCGCATTTACGAAGACGACTGTCCAAATTGTTTTTGTTTTCATAATCGCGAACAGTCAAGAGTAGTTTGACCTCAGCCTGAAAAACGAGATGAAGGACTACTGTGATGCGGAATCATAGCATTTACCTTAAACTTCAGAACTAAGTATATTCGAGAAATACACTCATTTGCAAATCAATCAGGTTTTCACGACAGACTCAACCGAATTTCACGTTTATGATATTCTACAACTGAAAGTGCTGCACACCGGCCGCCTCATGTTTCATTTGGCATGACATTTGAGATATTGCAGTATATTTTCATTAGCAAACTACCCACACGGTTGCTGAAAACTCTTCGACAGCCCATGACCGGTTTCACCCTTCTTGGGTCTCATCAGGTAGACGCAACCCCCGAATTTCCGTCAACCTTATGTTCTACTTGAACCTTGTGAGTAGTTTCCTTTGTGAAAACTAAATGTATTGTTCTATTTCGCAGAAATGCACTCTCAATGGAAAATTTCCAACAAACAACAGGAATAATGAAACACAGCGACTTCTAGGCGATTGACTGATTTACAGCCCTAATTTATATATTTCCAAATGTCCTATTTTTGTTTTCCGTGCCCCATATCTGAAATATATCAACTCTGGCGAATTATTGATCAGGCACTCTATATGTACGTACATGCACGATCCTACAGAGGTGTAGATGTATTTTTAGTCAGTCACATCGACTATCTCAAGGAAGATCTCCTGCTACCTTGACACACCAGACAGATCGTACTTTTAAACCAACTGCCTTTGGACAAAACGCGATATCTACACCACGTGAGGTGATCGGTCGTTTCAGCTGTGTGCATACCGCTCGTCACAAACAACTACACTCTGATACATATTCGGAAAAACGGTATGTACAAAACCAATGCAATAGGAAACGATGCACTCACATTACCAAAAGACCTGGTTACTTTCGTCTGTGTCTCAGTCTCCGAACTGCCTTTTAAATGAACCTAGGCATGGGTATTATAGACAGTAAGTCGATGACTTTGCCGTAACACCCGAGGATTTCCCATCAGATAATGGATTCAGTGGATGCCTATTCCAAGACCATCACAGAAAAGTATGTATTCCAGAAAGGACGTGAAAACCTTACCTTGTGAATCCACACTTCAAGGCAACATGTCAGGTAGAAGCATGCAAGTATTGGTGTTTTCAAATAAGTGGTTCTTTTCAGAACGATGCTCTTACCATGACAGCCACGCATGGAGAAGAATAACCGACAGATCACTGTGAAGCCACCTTTTACGAAAGGTGAGTTTCAAAGCACAACATTCCTACCTTTCAGGACACATGTCAGGATGTGAATGTACTGTGTCTTCAAAAAAGAACATCCGAAATTCATCAGAAATCTCTACCATATAACAATGTCAGAAATAAATATATGACGGTTAGCTCTACTGAAATTGGTTACAAGCCGTCATCTTCAACATGGGGAAATACACGCGTGCTTTGCTGTTACACAGATTTATCAGTTCATATGACCAAAGCCATAAGTGTGTCTGAAACGCGCTGGCACTGAAAGTGCGTATGTTGTTGACCGCTTGCAGCAGGGACGGTAATCCTTTGGCCTTAAATCTATATCACGCAATATACAGAGGCAGTTTTACTGTGAAAAACATGGGGATCTTGCCATAGCAATATCGCCATACTGCCACTGACACTATCAAGTCATCACCATCATCCATATCATAACAACAGTGTTCAGTAATAACGTTTCGATGGCGTATAACCATGACTTGGTTGAAAGCCCTACTGTGGGAAAGAGTGAAATGGGACGGAGAAGGAACTATGTTCTAGTTTACCGCAATCAATCAGCAGTACTTACACCTCCAGACGCTGATTCAGGCAATCTAACAACAACAGCGCCGTTGATATCACATACCGTGCAGGGTCTCCAAACAGGTGCAGTGTAGATCACACGTTCTTTATCCTGGGAAGCGGGTGCTACGAACAATTCACAGACTTTTCCTAATCTCTTTCATACTCTCTACCAGGTTGCTGATTAGCCACGTATTTGCTCCCGTAACTACAACTGGAGTGTGAGAAACAGTACATTCCTCGGCAAGCGATGGTTCATCATCCGCAATACATCGCCTAACTAACGGAGATTCTGGTTTCGGACACATACTCCAAAGGAATTCCCCGTCGCATAACTGAACACTCACTTTCTAATCGACTCGTTATGGATTCACCGACACCAACCCATGCGGGCTATGGTTCTGACGCACCGGTTGTCGAACATCTGAAGGCGCCTTATTTCCACTTTTTCTGCAGACCAAGTCTCACAGCCAAACAACAAAACCCACACTCTAGGCTGATACGAACGTCACTTGAGATTCACAAAAACTGTCGCCATGTCACCATAGGCATCTTAAATTAGAAAACGCGACTCGAGCCTTGCAGATTCGTGCATTGATCTGATCTGTCACACTACAATACAACTTCCAAAGTACGTGAAACGCTCCGCAACTCCAAGTCTCTCCGTGGATTGTAAGGGGCTAGTTTAGTCACTGCACGTCCAGGGACATGATCTTTAAATCTGTGGGTCCACAGGACGGGATTACTTTGTTCAGTTCATCTTAATACACCTGCGCCTTCTCCTCTTCGAAGGTGGGAACAATGTCTGCATATTCAAAATTAAAAAGTCTTTCTAAACATGATATCTGAACACCACGGCTTTGAAAAGCTTCCGGCGTTCGTCTCACTTTCTTGTCGGTCACGAAATTAAATAGGAATGAAGAGAGTGGGCACCCATGGTGGACACCACTTTGTGTAGAAAAGATTTTAGAGAGATCTCCGTTCAACCTCACATGTCCGGACCGGCCAGCTGAGTCGAATGCGCCTTGGAAATCCAGAAACACTAAAATTGTGGGTCGTTTATACGTATGACGTTTTTGTAGCCCCTGCTGGACTGTGGTGTGTGGGCCAATGCATCATCTACCAGGCGGAAATCGCCTTTGCTGTTCTCAAGTCGGTGTTTTACGACCGACCATAAAGCGACAAATTAGAATTGAAGCCAATGGTCTCGTTACGACCTGGGTCAAGCTGATGCCCCTATGATTACTACACCCACTGCTAGCCTATTTTTCAGAATGGTTATTATCACTTATTCCCCCCAAATACAGGCAAACATATCAAGCATGTATTAGATGAGAACTTCGGGTTTTGAGCCATATGGAACAACACCTGGGTGGAGCTTGAGGGAAATAAATCTTCGAGGCCGTAGAGGATTCCAGATTTATCCTTCAGGGTTTTAGGTTTCCTGTGGAATTCAGATGAATGTCAATGGGTAGCCATGGAAATTGCTGTTAGAACTGTTTTGCCCACCGGTCAAGGCGTTCATCTTTATTCTCGAATATTTATGGGGGCCGGTTGCACGGATCAGCTGAAATAAACTTTGTGGGTTCCAGACTTGCTGTGCCTTTTGCATTCCCTTAGCTTTCCGTGTCTATTCGATTTCACACTCGCCGCGTCCACTCACTTTCACTTGACTTCTCATAATTCGTCAAGCCAAATTATGTTTTTCTAGATTCAAGCAGTGCTGCTGTTCTATGTGAGTTTGATTGGTAGCGTCGTGCAACAGGGAAAACTCCAAGCACTGTGCAAGGCGGTGGCAGTGTCGTTCTAGTGTAAATTTACGTCTGATAGTGGGACATCTGGAGGAGATTTCATAAGACGATTATGGTGAACTCGTCTAACATCAGGGTCTACCAGTCCCTCAGTTGCCAGGCCGCACCTTACTCGACCCTGGAAAACGCAGGGAGAAATGACTCCGAAGGAGCCGGTGCTCAGAATCCACAAATACACTCCTAAAGGAGCGGCTATCCATTATTCATCCGCGCGATCAGTAGCTGATGGCAAAGTGATTAATTCGAGTTCGTAGCCGGCATGCCGTTGGAAGACGACTTCGCCCATTTCAGAAGTACTGCATAAAAACGGTCTGCCGTCAGCCCACACCTGAAACAATTGTTCACCATTGTCCATACTTACTGATTCTAATCCGTGTCAAGCATCCAGTTAAGTCTCAGATTCTCCAAATATTCATGCCTCCTGTAACGACAACGAGCTTTTTGCTCGCTGCTACAAGACATTCAGGGAGTGATAAAACTTTCCTTGGGTGGTATCAGATCTGCAGTAAGTTGGTGCATAAGCAGACACAACAAACAGACATTAAACAACCTCCTGCTTGTGAGACTCCTTCACAGACGTTGCCAGGCGAACCACATGATAGCGACTACCAACGGTTATCCACTTAAGCAAGGATCTTTCCGTTCGGTAATTTCGGTCGATACGGAACCCTGCACGTACTGTCGCAGCAGCCTCTGGGCCGCCAGATGCGCGCAGCCGGAAGCGAGTTGAGTGTGATGAGGCATGAGCTCAAACACTATGTTTCTGATACATAGATCATACAGTGTGACCGCAGAATAAGCTTGTTTCCCTGCTTGCTTCAGAGTACGAACTTTAAAAACAACCAGAAAGACCGCGCATCGTGGCTTGAAAATGTATTTTGAGCGGTCTGAGAAGGTCAGCGATGCACAGATGTTGCTGCAAAAACCGATGCAAGACGAATGGGGTTAGCAGTCTTAACTGATTGGCCCAAAAGGAGAATATTAGTAATGAGGTGGGGAAAGGGATAGTAAAAAGTGTGGAAGCGAAAGAAAGGAAGCGTCAGTAGTAGCCTGTTTTCGTTCGACAGCCATTTTATAGGCAACAAGCAAGGCGGCCTGGGTGATAGCACCAAGGGACGGCGGGTGTGAAGTTAGACTAGTTGTGCATGTGCAGTTCTTGGTGATAGGTGTGCTGGGACCTGGTGCACCTGGACATTATCATGAGGGTAAATAAAGTCCTCGATCAAGGCCTCTGACTCAAAAGCCTGACCGCAAGACAGCGGTGATTGGCGGCAAATGACATTTTCATAAAAAAGTGAGTATTCCGGCCCTCAACCTGGAGGGCCAGGAAACTGTTTGGTCATAACTCTAATGACTGATCAAACTGATATCAGGGGCTGTGCGAGTGCCGCATAGACAGTATTGCTCAACAGGTCGCGGAGGCAGGCAAATCGTCACAAAATGGTAAGGTCCAGTCTCCATCCAGCAAAAATTGTCCTCAGATTAAAAACTTGAATCACGAAAACATTACCATACTGGAGGGATGCCAGTCATTACAACGAGAGCTTGGTAATTTTATCGATGGTGTTCCATTCGCTGGTTTCATTGACAATGAGAGGAAGTACGCTGCTTAGGATGGTAAGAGCAAATGATGGTAAATGAACTGACGCCACGAGAAATGTCATTAAAATGTGTCTTCTCGTTTACACCTTTGAAAGCAAGTAGACCTAATGCAGTAGAGCTACGAGCCAACAACTGTGACTAGTAAACTTGATACCTGAAAAGTATGAGAATTGTGGTTTAAATTGCGGTGAGTTCACTCTGACTAGGGACATGTACGCGCAAACAGAAGAGTGTCTGATTTGCTGGAATGCACAACTCAGTTGATGAAGCTTGTGGAAGACCGGATGCGGAAACGGGTGGAGCGGTATTACGGAAATCACACTGTTGCACAATCACATGCTATTTTTCTCGTACGTAACTAACTAACTAAATAACCAGGTTACTCCAGCGTTTCTTTCTGTATAAAATTTACTTGATGCAGTCAAAATACTGTTCTAGTGATGTATCCCCGAATATGAGTAAACTAGATTTTCGCCGCAGAGGCCAAGTATCGCATTCTTATTCCAAATGATATTTTTGTTATCCTGTGTAGTGAGTAGAGAACAAATAACTAGAAATAAATACCAGATTATTTCCCCTAGTTTGCCCTTGTCTAAGGTAATTTTATACGGGCTTTATGAAACTGACTATAAATGTTCAAGGGAGAAATAATCAGTTTCAAATGTCTTATTTCAGCCCGTGTCGACTGAAAAGCATAATTTGTTATTTTTTGCTGATTCAGGGCTAACATGAGGAAGTTCACATCCGGTTTGTTCACGCCTAAATACTGAGTAAAATCCAATTACGACTTCATTATAAATGGTGAACATATGATTGAGAACAGCGTAACTAAAAGGAGGAAATGTGAGTTGAGACAGGAATATTTGAATTTCACCTTTATAGCCAAGACTTGCTCGAAATACCACGGAAGGTAGCAGGGTGAGAACGTTACCCAAAGGCTAACTTAATAGACTCAGTTACCATCAGTAAGCACTGAAGAAATGCGGCCCCTTTACGGCAATCAATTTTCAGCAAACTTCCCAGTTCTAAATGTAAAATTAACGAGAACCCAACAATGTTGTTGGCTATGTCTCCCTGAAAAACGAGATAGGGAATGATTCACCTATATGATCATTTCCTGATCATAGAGGGATATAAAACAGGTAATCTCTTGCACTTTATTTCTCCATTCATTGCGAATGGAACTGGTACCCCTGAAAGGAAAAGGATCATTGTTGAAGACCAAAGACCACGGAGTACAAAGCTAACGGGCTACAAGAATACAAGACAAAAAATATCTTTGGAACAACACCCATCGAGCTCTTTCTAAGATCTGTCACATTCGCAAATGTTTAAGCACAAGCTTGACAATTCAGCCCAGAGTTTGGTTTGGCAACGCATATGAAATGAAAGTATTAGGTGACAAGTAAATGGTTTTGGGAAGCTATAGTGTACGTTTGCCTCAGGCACTATCATACTTCTTACATTCCACGGAGTGTTTTTGCGTTTGGTTCGTATTTTTTATACTCATAATGATAGAAGACTAAACAACGCAATCAAAAGAATGGCACAACACATAATGTTGGGTTGATTTGACGAAACAGGACAGAAAAGGATGATACAATGATGTTCACTCTCGCTGTACCTGGTAATTAAAAACAAACGTTTGATCCTAGTTATAGCTCACGAAACACTGTCAAAAATTGCCTCAACTAGATTTGAGGCCAACTGGTGCATAGGTGGTCTGGATTGCATGTGTGGCAGAATGATCACCATTGGAGGTCGATGCCCTGATTCTAGATGAACAGAGGATGATGCGGAAGTTGATGCAGAAGTTTGACGAACCAGATACCTAAGACATCATAATTGATGGATGTGCACTTGCGGCTAGCAAAAAATGCTGAAAACGAAAATGTTGGGTTACTAAAACGGTTATAGATATATGCACCTGTGTTTAGTTTAGGCTTTTTGACAATCTTAATCAGTGTCCAAGTCATTGAAGTATCATTTCAAGCAATCACTGAATGCCACCCATGAATACATGGGAATAGAATCAAAAACGGAGAGAAAGCTTTCAAATCACTCTCAAACATTTCCTATATCCACTTTTGGTGCAAACAACATCTTCTGCGAAATTGGACTCATCGAAAAGCGTGATCAAGAAAGTCTGTCACAAAAATCATGCGGCCAATTTTGTGAGAACTGATCCTGAAGGCCTACAACAAACTTATTCAAACAAAGTCCATTACCCAGGTAACTCGCAGCACATTCTCATATGTCTCCAGAATTTTCCATACTTGAAAAGGTAGCCTCTACCTCCCCAGACGTCCCACACTTTTTCAAAACTGCTCGCTTTACCAGTAAAAACTGTGGATATCAAGTTAATAGTTTGGAAGACGCACCCATATATCAGCATAGAGTTCAGGTCCATCTATTTACCGAAGGAGTCTGTTTCCGCTGCTTCTATTGAGAAGGTGGTTGGAGCTTGTGTTATGAACGGTGGTGTTGAAAGTCCACACTACATATCATTTACAACTCTTTCCTAGTTTACTTAGGCATTAGACCATTATTCAGAATTCTGGAAACCTCAATCACCAATGAAGGTTTCGAAATTCCATGTACTAAGAAAATTATGTAAGGCAAACTGACATTTCAATAAGCACGGTTAGGTAAAAAATTGGATAAGTGGGAAAACTTGAACAGATTCTATACGGCCGTCTGAATAGCTCACTAATGTAGCTTTATAAAACCAGGTGAAAATTCTGATATCGCCTATAGGAATTCAGGACGAGTTGCTCTTTAGTGAAATAAAAATAGATCCAGAAAGCTGTGTCATAATCAGACCTGCAAGTTGTCACAGTTTCAAACTAATCCGTGAACTCATACACTGATTTTGGATTAGTGAAAATCACGCCCGTTGAATTAGGAGTGGGGGGGGGGGTGGAAGCCTATCTCAGGTATATTTGTGAGTCTAGTATGAAAAACTTCATGCAACTGGAACATGGATGAATATCGTTGTTTCAGTCATTGCCCCTCAATATGAAAAATCCTGTTGGGCCAGCGTGGCAATGCTCCATTCAGTTATTCACCTAATTAACGGCAGTCAAGGTCAAACAACCCAACTATTTTTGAGGTTCGCAAAACGATGTCCAAATCTTCTATGTGGTGAGACCTGTGATATGCTGCTTTGCCCTCAGATGTGACATTTGACCGCCATTTCTATGTTACGTACGAAATCAAAGGGAAACAGGACATAGGAGTTAAGAATCAAACGGTTTTGCTATTAGTTTAATTAGCCTCCTAGTCACCATCATGATCCCCGCGGGATATTTGACACCGCATCTGCTATTAACTTCTAGCACAGCATGAGGTAGTATTCTAAATAGCTACACAGAGCAGTTTGAACTTTCAAGTGATTAGGAAGTCTCCTCATTTTTACGCCTCCCTTTTTTCAGTGACACGTAATTCAAACAAATAAAATATTAGTTTTCACCCACGTTACTCAAGAAACCAAAGTAAGGATATGAACTGGAAGATGATCGGAACCAACCCAGAAGCCATCCATTCAGATTAAAAAGAAGGAAGTTCACATGAAATTGAATGAACGTCTCCGGAATCGACTTTAGGAATCATTGGAGACATAACAGCAGTGATATGATGATAATTTGGTTAGCCTGGACTTCAAAGGTACAATACCAAAGAGTAACTAAGACAGACAAGAGCACAGCATATCGCAGGAAAATTTTCATAAAAATGAGAATGAGAACAGTGCGTACCTGAATGGCATTGCATGTTTTAGTATTTAGCAATTCAAACGATACACTAGAAGAAGCTGATATAATTGAATCTAGCTAACAGTGCTCGGAAGTTTAACTCACTCTGGCCGATAACAACAGGCATAGGATTATGACCACGTTCATTTCACTGCAATGATTTATCGAATATTTGCCGATCTACCACACGCTAATCCATCTGTGACCATTAATGCGTCGGTTTTGCGTGCCCCACAATTTCTGGTTCAGAAAAGTCTGATCGGCTGAACCAATGACAGCACCCATATACTGCCCATCCAATCGTTTCCACATCTGGTCGGTGCACCTGTGCACAATGAAAGCGAGGCCTGGCAACAATAGCCTATTCTGATAGTGAAAGCTTAATAAAACAACGTAGTCGGATGAGGATTGGACATATGGGTAGAACTAAACTGCTAGTAAAGTTTAACACCATAGTGGATTTAACCATGGACAGACATGACCGATACCCAGATAAATCAATCTGAGATGGAGCGTTTTCTGACAGGAAAACTGGCAATGAACAGGATGGACAGACATATGTGCACCAGGCAGAATAGTTAACTGAAACATTGTTGTGCAGTGTTAACAATCCTTTCTAGGGTTATCTCCCTAAAAAATTAACATCCCTGAAGCATTCATCTTCAGTGCCTTTTGCATATTGAATGTTCCTCATGACGAACACATGTTCACCTCCTGAGTTTACTGAGGGTCCTTCTGAAAGGAAGCGCATTGCTATACTACCGTTGTCGATGATTTTCGCAGCGCATGCTTGAGACATGAAAGTGGTTATAAACAATAGTAGCTGAATTTACAAAACCAAATGCAACGATTGCACTAAGATACACATGGGACGGATGTCCAGGGAACTTCACATCAGAATCGGAGAGCGCAAAGGACGACAGGTGGCAAATGCAACGATTGCACTAAGATACACATGGGACGGATGTCCAGGGAACTTCACATCAGAATCGGAGAGCGCAAAAGAACGATAAACAGGTGGATGAGAAAAGCAGATGAACACGGAGCATTACTGAAAAACCCAGCAATGGCGAAACATGCAGTGGAAATGGAACAGATTTAGAAAGAGTTGAGGTTTTGAGGTGAGAACAACGGTTCACCTCACATGAAATGGTGGCCGAGGCGATGGAAGTCGTCAAGTATCCCAGTATTAATAAAACAGTGTGGAGAACAGTTCGCCATCATTGGATCTGACACAAATTGACGCGCAGTCAGAAACAAGGGTCATCAACAGAAGAAGTGCACTCAATCACACCGAACTTTTCACGTCTTCTTCAAAAACGTTTTTTCCCGTTGCACTTAAAAGGCCACACAGATAAAATAAATCCACCAGTAGTAATCAGACTGAATAATCAATTGAGGAACATTGGACCGGAAGATTGAGGGTCCGAAATCAATCGAAAATAGTTTGAAAATTCCCCCAACCCCTTTAGGCAAACGCACAAACTGACAATACCCTTTAACTGACATTCAATACTGATATAGTGTTCTAGTCTGATTGGTTCTCTGTCTGCCCCTAAACCTGGCCAACCTGGTTACCCGGTCACTTCGCCTGATCAGGTTTTCGTGTCAAGGCGAAAAGTTGCCTGGTTAAAAACTACCGATTGTTTACCAAGCACTTCTGAAATGAAGAGAACCCTTCTTGCATTATTGCCAGGACAGAAATCGAGTTAATATGACTATGATATATGATTAGCTCTCAGTAAAAGTCGTTTTCGATCCTAAATGGAATTTTGCATTTGAAGTTAGTATGACGTTATTCCCAATTCATCACTACTAGTTTCCGGAACTTATTCGCCGATACGGCTTTCCCGGTTCTGCAGAGCGACGCATTTGCTTGTTTCCGCAGTTGTGGAAGAGTAAGTTTCACACTGCCATATCAGTAAGTTATGACCAGACCTTGTAAGGCGTTTTTCTTCATTTTTCATTTTCGAGAAATATTTGTAGAAATCCCATGATTTTGTGGCTTGTATACTGTCTTCTTATTACAGGTGATCTGTGAAACTGCTCAATGTCATTCTGACAAACTAGGTAACATATTTCATTATTAACAGAAACGATGCAGACGATATGTGCCCCAAGTGTGCACTAATCAAGCAATTTTTTTGATGACGGACTACCTGAGTGGTTCACACCAATTTCACGGCGCCCGTTTACTATGCGTATCCTCAGATAAATTTGAAATTTCATCCGTTTATCGTTTATAATGTGGTGACCTTTGTGTATGACACTCAGTTGCGACCCAGCTGAGTCCCAGGTGAGCCTCCTGTGAAAAAATAGCTGTTATACTGACGAGAAGTTCAAGAGGAATATAAAGTTGGTGGATTCTTGGTGATCACCCTACCTGATGATCCTCAGGAAGGACTAAACCTGTAGTGGCTAACAGAGTTTTCAGGAAACCTTGCGGGTAATTCCCTATGAAAATGAACGGCCCAGTATTATGCCATCTTGATGCTGGGCGCGCTTTTTTCCTTAAAAATTCTTTTATGAGGGACTGTGAAATCCAAATTAGACTTCCATGTATCCTATCCATGTGCAACCGGAAATCGTATTTTCAAACCTATGCTTTGTATATGGCGGTGTCTTCAACACACATTGAGCCACAATTACTTTTCAGCTTCAGGTGTTCGACTAAACTTACATAAATTTTATCGTTCCTAACCAATGCTAATCGATTGTATCCCAGCGGATGTTCAGTCACTCTTGATTGATTCGGTTCTCTCTATATCGGTCTAAGCAAGCAGAAGTCCACCTTCACTAGAATGTTCTTATTCAAAACGCATGCATTATCCGGTGTGAATAGGTGAAAACTTTCCGAGTGACATCGAACCGGTTTAAGGCTGGTGTAATAAGAATAAGTCTTACTGGTCGGAGGTCCGTGGTTGGAACTGCTGCTCCTCTCTACGCTTGGCAAACCTGGCAATACCTCCGTTCTCATGCACCCAAAGTGAGCTAAATCCGAGCGACTATTTGATTACTTAACCTGTCGGTTTACAATACTAAATTCAAAGATCACCATGAGGACGAAATTATGTAAACAAACAATTTTTTGTTGTGCTGTTCCCCAATGGGGAAAGCTTTCCATAATGTGAGAGGAATTTCTGGCTCAAAATGGATGATTTTATGCTTGACGAGGGTATTGTTGCTTGCTATCCAAAATATATCTGCTATTCATCAATGACTATCATACGGATCCGACACCTGCTTAAGCTAATTGCGTTAAGCCTGAAGCAAATTCCATGCATAGAGGCCATGATACTAACTGTCCGATAAAGTCATGTACGTTGTACAAGCGTCGGACTAGGACATTAACTAAGTGTTATAGGTGATGTTTGCTTTTACTTACGCAGTCACATTATGTTTCACATTTTAAATCTTTCTTTTTCTAGTGCAGTGGTCCCACACGTTCAGATAACGACTGATCGATAGAGGGAGATTACGACTACAGGTTACACATCACCTGCGGCGTTTTTTTCACTTAGAGATTTGGTAACGCACCTACAAACTTGGAAAAATTACATGTTTATTTACAAGGGTTTGCGAATATGTGCCAGTTGTGCTACACAAGCTGGGTCCAAGAACATTAACCCAGCCATCAATAGGCAGTAGTGTCATCGGATGAAACTTCGAACACAGAATGGACGGTCGGTATTAGTTTGACGATTCCTTGTTGTCGAAATTAATGATGATTTTGGACTGAACTAAGCAGGATAGGACAGACGGTGTAACCTTAAGGATCGAATTCATGAACGTTCCTAAGTGAGTCGTATTCGTGAGTCCAAACAAAACAGCAATTCTGCTTTCTCGAAGAAATAGAAATATATCAGTTCAGTGTTCTGTGCTCCGTTTGAACGACACGGTACCATAATTTACCAGCTTCCGTCTAGCGCAAATTATGAAAAAAGTTACTACTATGCACTTCACTTCGGAAAGCCAGCAAGATACGGACGCTGGATGAGGTCAGCAATTTGTGCTGCGCAACTCAAGATGAATTCGTATTCAAGGGGAATTCCGATGATGCCGATAAGGTTATTAAATTCAGTTTTGTCCACTAACCACTGCAAATACAAACTTATGTAGGGGGAACTATCGAAAATATTGCATGTGGATCAAATATTATCTTGGCTTTGGTACGTAAAAGTTCACTTCGCCTGTCAGAAACCACCAATGTGGTACCAGATACAGATACTCAAATCGATCGAAGCTACCACTGTGAACACAGAGGTATAATTACTGATCCAGGTCAAGAATGGTTCCGTACTCGAGGCGAGTTTGTCCTTTTTCTGCCCCACCTTCGTTTTAAGTTTTTATTTCAGTAGATGCGAATGTATAAAGTGGATTCACCTAGCGCTCTATTCTCATGATTCCCACTTTACCAAAATTCGAAGATCTGAATGGCTACTGGGTTATCGAAGTGGACTATAAACTCGAGCGGATAGGAGTATCCTTAAGGCGTTACTAACGTACATCTAGCTTGTTTTAAACGTTGATCAGTATTAACGTGGGCTATGCAATTGGAGTAAAGCTTCGGAGAACAAGTGCCCTTATAAACGTCCTGAAATTATCACAGATACACAAGGATTAAGAATCATTTTCGGAACCTTGCTTTCCATTTTTCGCTACTTGAACCTGGATTCTGATTCCGAGATCTTGGTCAGTTCCTAAGAACAGCCGCGTGCCAAAATGTTTTTCCTGATCACATATGAAACCAGGATTTATGTATTTCTGAAGTATATGGAGACACAGGCAAGGAGACAAAACGATTTGCTGAACTTTGATCTGGATTGGTTTTCGTGCTTTTTCAAGGTGATTCAAAAAAGCGATTAACCAATGGGGTTCGCATGTAACTTACCCCCACATTCATTGAGTTCATAAAACAGCAGTCGGTATCTAGACATCTTTTTTCATTCTGGAACACTAAAGAAATCGAAAAATAAGTGGATGATACTCATGTAACGGTGGATACCATTGATGAGACATGCCAGAAATGTTTTCACGTAACTTCGCACTGCGTCTGTTGGAAAGCGGGATGTAATACGGAATTTGTGAGATTGCCTTGTAGCATTCGTTTGCAATTGTGTGATAGCCAATGAATATCCAGGAACGTTCAGAAAGATGCTTTCAAGAAGAGCACGGATATTCAGTTTTTATAAGCACGATGCATATGAGAGTTTTATTTCCTGCCCAATTGTGTGCAGCTTTTCAGTTTATGCTTTCCAATAAATAACTACGTAGCAAGAACTCTCTTCCTTTAACTGGTATTCCAAATTTGTATCTTTCGGGCATTCTATAAATCCGGTATGTCGTTTGGCAAACTGAAGTTTATAACGGTAAACGTACTCCCCAGCCTATCTGCAGCAAACTTCAGTAGTCAATTACCTGATTATGTCGGTACTTCAGTTTAGTCTTCAGAAAGAACAAAACCGAAAATCAATAACTGCTGAAATCTTTACAAATACAAAGGGGCATGCTTTCACCTGACAACAATCCTAAGCACTACTTGGTGACCAATCCGGTATATTTTACTCAATGTTTCCATTCTATTTGATAAGCCCATTTCTTTTGAGCAACTTTTTCGAATCGGTAGTCAGTGCTGGAGATGAGATACACCATGGGGTCACTGTGGACCGCAACTAAACAGTAAGCACTATGTATAGATAGCAGCACGCTTTCATGAGCCATATACGAATACCCGTAGCTGCGCTTGCACAAATGCGAAACCCCTTTGCTTCCAGGAGAAATCGTTAGTTACTTCATTTTCAAATCTGTGCGTTGCTAAACTTTGTGCTCCGACCCAGCAACAATCAATCTTTGACGGCACGATAACGTTTCCCTCAAGCAAATATACAACTACGCAAATGACTCCCAAAGGGAACTGCGGGTGACACCTCCGAAGCCTATGGTAGAAGATCTTTTAAAATCGGAATTTCATGAAAATGGACATTGCAGAGGTTCAGCGTCGGCTTTATGCGGTCAAAAATAAGTAAGGGAGTTAATAAGTAAAGAACGGTCATGCAATCATGGTTCACAACAAGCATATTTCGAAAAGTTTTAGCTTAAGCGCCATGATATTTTTGCAGTGATATTATAGGATCACAATGTATTAAGAAGTTTATCGTTGAAAGTCATATACAGCATTGCTTTGGAAATTTTGAATAAACGGGTGGATGAACAGCCGATTCGAACTGCGAAGCGTTTGGTTAAGTGTCTAACCCAACAGCTTAATGTGATAATATCCTTTGGCGTGCGGACGAGCACAGCTGTTGACTTTGTAGCTGCTTGCTCTGCAGTGACCGAGGCACAATCCGGCAGCATGGTCTGCCATGATAAGATTTTTACGGAACTCAACAAGAAATTCGGGTGGTACCGTACTAACTCCTTCTGGACGACAGACAAAGTTTGGTTGCCAGCGTCTGCCATCATCTAGGATTGAGTGCAAATAACTCGAAGAAGGTGTGTAGCCGTCTTAGATATTCAACAAACCTATTGCATCTTCCAATCTGCATCCAACTGATGCCTAACATTCCAAAAGGAGAGTAACCCTGTTGTGTTTCTTTCGGAATCACTGTTAATATTGTTAATGAGGAAGAACCCGAAAAAAGTGGCCGTGGGCTAATTTTGCCTTTCAGAGACTTCAAAATATTCCCACTACTAATGAAGTGGAAGTAACAAGATTAAGGGGAAGATCATTCAGCCAGTTCAAATGGTCTTTTTGGACCGTCGTATAATAAATAAATAAAAAATAAAATAAATCTGATCTGCTGAGGGACATGCAGCGCCGAATCGTCTGACTGTAAATGAAGCACACTAGTGAGAGTTACCTAGGCTGTTACCTGACATGGTTGAATCGTTATTAAGTGATTCATGTTAGGACATGCTTAATCGATGATTTGTGCTGCACGATTGGACCATGGAGTAGCTGACAAAATGGTACTCATCTCAAGCATCTCACCTCTTGTCATCACCATATTTAGTAGCGGAATATATGTTCGCAGGCAACTTTGACTACATTACAGATTAAACTAGAATCGCCAGATATGCGCCACGAAATCGATCATATCAAAGTAATGACACATCGGGCATTGAACAACCCATCAGCGTCTTCAATAAAAGCACGAAACATGAGGTGGCCTTTGTGCAGCACACTTAGTTGAAGAACTTCATAAACGAGAGATTCAGTTGAGTGCCCCATGAAGACCAAATTGATTTGCAAATGAGTGAGCGTATTTGTCAAAAAGCACTATATGGTCGGAAGAAAGAAACTTCTCACTAAGTCCTCCTCAGAGCAGCGGCAAGTGTTTTCGCATTATGGGCGTAATTTAACTACACAGCTGAATGGACACCTGTACCCGAGGGAGAGATTTTTCATGCTATTCATATCCACACGGGGATTCATGGGACATTATCCACAGATAGCTCCCCCTAAAGACCAAGTGTGTCTTGCTCCAGCGGAAGATATACAAACACATATTATCATTTATTATTTTATTTTTGAAGAGCATGGTCACAAACATAAAAAGTGAACGCAAGCGATGAATGCGAAAGAGTAACAGGAGAATATGGGAGAAAAGAGAGAAACGTCTCATTCGAAATCATGCCAAGGATAGTGCCAGTCTGATGAGGTGAATCCCAAAGTATGTAAAGATTTTGGTATGGGAACACGCGTCTAAAGACCAACAACCAAAGAACGGACAAACAATGGTGAATGCTCTTCAAGGCGCAGTGTGCGCTAGCACAGTAAAGACTCGCACATCAGGCAACAAAGTGTCCGTCATACTGGGTCTCGTGTGAGATTAAATGGCAAAAACGTACCTTCACCGCCATGTGCCAAGCATAAAAGTGTCATAAGTACGCAGGGAGCCCACAATCGCAAGCAAACACAAGTCACTGACTGCGACCTTAGGAAGTCCCAGTCCAATAACAGCCTTAGCGGATTGAGGAAAGCAGATCCCTCGATAAGAGATAATCATTGGTTGGTGAACCAAAAAGTCGATATCACAACCGATGGCATGTAGGGCTGAGAATATGGCGAGGGAATGTTCATCAGCACCATACTTCTGCTTCTTCTCATTCCACACTGTCACTGCACGCACATCCGAGACTATGCTGACGACGATTACAGTTGCACGGCGATCTCGAACAGCGATTAGGTCAGGTTTGATGAACGACGTAGAAGTAGGGGCTCTCAACTCCTCGAAGACG